TAATTAATTAATTTGTTTGTTTGTTTATTTTGTTCATAATGCGAAAATAAAATTTGCAAAAACATGAAAAACCATATCGCTCCTCTAGAAGAACAATGAAGCAGTGCAGTATTTCAAAAAAATCCGTTTAATGTGGCAAATGTGGCAAATCTGTTAAAAATAATCATAAATAATCAATCTTTCCATTGGTACTTGAATGACGTTTTTTTATTTTTTTTGCACTTGCGTCATTGTTCTTCTAGTCTAGAGGCTCGATATGCGATTTTTTTTATAAAAGAAACGAATACGGTATGGCCAAAATAACTTTCAAATCCAATCCTGACATTCTTTGCCTCGATATTTCCAAACTCGACAAGAAAAGTCCATAAAAAAAAAAACTACTACCTAACTACTTATAGCCAAGTTTCAATCAAAGGCCACCCTCTGCAGGGGTTATTTAGGGTCATTGGGAGTATTACGCCCCTGCATCAGTGGCACAATACGGTGCATTATCAAGAGAGGCCGGCTCCATCAAATGTGTATTTCGAAATCCGCAGGGACAAATATCGATGTGGGCATGTCAATTCTGAACGAAACAATTGACATCCCTGATATATGTCCCACACGGTATTGTACTGCCCGTGGTCCGCCGATAATGCCTTTCTGTTTATTTTCCTGTTTATATATCGGACAAGCAACGAATCGCTACTCGAATGCTTGTAGGCATTTAAAAATAAAAACCCTATAAAAAAACCGTCCAATTACACCCCGAATTGTAAAAATCCACTTGGAAGATTCGAATCTTGGCGTAAATAAAGCCCCACGCCAGGCGAAAATCGCCGCGAAGTCATAGAAATTTCCCCGGAATGCGTGCGAGCCGCCCATAAAACCGGTAATGTGCTCCGCAATTGCGTGATATAGTCTCTTATATGATTAAGCTCTAAAATGTTGGCCGAGTGTTTTTGAAAGTAGTTGAAACGAAAGCGAAAATTAATATCGTTTATGCGTTCGTAAAAAATGCGAATTAATAACCGGACGAGCGAAAGTTGAAAGCTCGATCGATAAAAATTAAACGTGCGTTAATAAGTCAGTAGGCACACGAGGTTATAATAGGCTAATTTTTCCTTGTTTTGTTAATGGATGTTTTTCTACGAGTTTCTTAAAGAACATATTTGAGGTGATATTTACCATTTTCCATCATTCTATACAAAGATAATATCACATGTAGATACTAATACCTAATTATAAATCTTCCTCGGCTCTTTCTGTCGTCGTTTTCCCCGTAAAAAGCATCTCGACCTACAAAAACAACCTGCCGGAGAAGGAAAACAACGCCAACTTTCCTCCGGCATTCCTGGAAGAGTCCTCCAGAAAACCGAAGGACGGACAAGGAGCACTTCCTCGATGCGCGAAAACGGGCCCGAGGCGGAAAGAAACTCCAATTTTACGAGTTCGACCACTCTCCTAACCTGGCGAGGGTTGCGCTCCGGCTTGAGTCATAACTATCAAGGGAATGATTACCGGGATTTTACTGCCCGCGGTAGTTCCGGAGAACTGGAAACAGATTAAGGGGATGCCATGAAAATGATGGTATGAGAATAGAAAAAAAAACCCGCCCCGTTTCATCATCAAAGGGATAGATCGTCATTGTTAAAAATTTCACAACAGCGCCGGAATTAATTCCGAAATAAGCATCCCCGGAAAACGAAATCCAAATAAAGGTGCGGGTTATGCATTGTTAATTTCGGCGCGCCGGACTTTATAAAAGTGACCGGGCGAGCGAAATTTTTTCCGTCCGCTCGCTGCATGAATATGCAATTATTCGCGGTCGAGGAGACTCCGGTGCGAACGCGAACGCCACCTGCGGAGTTTATTTAGCGAAGTGTCCGCCAGTAAAAAAGCGTTGATTTTTTTTACACGCCAAGTTTTCGCAGATTCAAAAGAATAAATTAATATCCGATTATTTTATGCATGAGTATATGAGGCGAGTTTTTCGTACGGCAGGAAATTTCAGCAGGATTTCAGCGACCATAAATGATTGAGATTTTATTTTTTTGGGGGTTGGCTCGCTGCTAGATGGAGTATAAATTTAGTGAAATTAGGACTGTAACGTGGAACCGCAGAAATTATCTCAGCAGGAGGTATTAACCTATCTCAACGGGTAATATTTTAGTGCAACAATGGAAACTGAGCAGGAATTTCGGACACGTTCGCGATCGCGTCGGAAGCCCTTTCCCGCGTTGAATAATCGCATATTGATGCTAGAAACAGACAAAACATCCTAGCGCTCAGCCACTTTACAAATTCCAGAGTGTAAATATTAACAACGCTATATTATTCATCCGAGTTCTCTGTAGGGAACGTCTTGCGGTGCAGGAGAAGTTCGGGGGATCTCTTTGTGGCCATTGTTTCGAGATTAGAACAGTAATTCATGTTCTGTTATGAAGCGCCGGAAATGTATTATGCGGATCATTTGGATGATTTCAATGTTGACTTTGAGCCGCCACCGAGCGAGTGTGAGGACTTCGTCGACAAATACGTAATATGCGGTTTAAACTAAGTATCTAGTAGTTTAAGTTTAGTTTATATCCATATTTTAGTCGGGAAATTCAATTAAATTACGTAAATCATATATCAACGTTCTTCCCATAAATACACCAAAGTACTTTTTAATTATTGGTGCTGGAACGACAGGCGTTCTAAAAGCACAAGGGATTTAGATGAAAAAAGAAATAATAAAACATAGCCTTTCTGAAAATGAAACTGCGACCTGCGAAAAAATATTGGATTGCGCCCTCAAGAGGGAGGACAATAGATCGTCAAAAGCAAACGGTCTTCGGCGGCAATCGCCTTCCTCGACATATTGGAAATCACAGACAAAAGGTACGCTTTCAATTTCATAGTTCCCATTCGGAATCTGATTTGATTTGTTGGCAATCGAATCCGCTCCAATTGCCTGATTTTTTATTTCCACTCATCCCGCGACTTCTCATTTCCGATAACGGTCACATATTTCTGTTCCGACGAATGTCGAGATGAAAGAAGACGCAGGACGGATTAAAATACATGTTTGATGTATTTTTTTTTCGGTGGGCGTAATAACGCTTTAGTGGAGAGGAATTCGATTTGTGTTCCTTGCGGTTTTGCGTCCTCTGATCTCGATTATCCTAATGGAATGAATCTAATTGCGAAGCGGACGTGGGATTTTTGAAAATGTTCTTTATACCGACTTAATCAAAGTTTTGCGTATCTCAAAGATTCCGTGACTCTTACTTTATGTATTTTCCGACATTATTTCCGCCAAAACATTTACTTTGCTCGGTGATGTGTATTTTTTTGTTACGAGAAAACGGACGCTTTGTCGCAGGGAAATTGTGTATATTTCTTTGGAGTACACCCAAATCCCTCGAGGGTGGATGTTTCAGTTTGTTTTCTTTGCGCTCGTAAGAAATATTGTTTACCGATTAACACGTATTCTCCTTTTTTCCGGGAACATTCGTATATAAAAAAGGAGCGGTGACCCCATTTTCGGTAAATATCCGAAAGGAAAAGGGATATTTTAAATGCGATTACCCCCGAATGCTAAACGTATTTAGGAGTTTGCTGAAAATAATCCGATTTACCCAAAAATGTCGAATTTACCATTTTATGTAGTACACAGTTAATACTCGAATTGATCACTTTATTTGTATATCCTCGAACTTTATTTATAATTACCATACTAAATTAACATACATAAATTATTGCTTAAAGTTATTTTACGATGGTCTCAAAAAAGTACATTAGAATTTTTAATTGCGCAAATATAATTTTTAATATACCTTTCGAATCCTGCATGGGAAATTGGATTTTTTTGTCGAAACAAAATTAAGAGTTAGGCGACAAAAAATGCAATGCAAATTTTCATTCTAATGTTGTTTTTCACAATTTGTATTCGGAATTCTCAATTATGGTATGGAAATGTATCGGACAGCCAGTGTTTTGCGACTCGACCATTTTATTAATATGCAAAGCAGCGGGGAAACAAAGAAAAAAAAAGGTTTGCATTATTATAACGCACGGAGAGTCGTTATAAAATGATACTTCATGCCGCAATCGATTTTATGTTCGTATATTTGGTTCGTTCGAAACTTTGAATTACAAACAGTGAATCCTGAAATTCCGGAAATAATGTAAATCGAGTACACCCTATTAAATCAATTAATTTTATTATACTATATTTACTTATTTCTGTTAATATTTGAAAAACGTTTCACAATATTTCGACAGAACTAAAACTACTTGTAACTACAGTCTCACGATAAATTATTTGTTGTTGGTAGAAGTATTCGCTCAAATATTTCTAATATTTATGGCATAAGCAAACGTCCTGGAGTTTTCCGGATCCCAATTTTCCGGTAGCTTTCGAAGTTGACAATACACTAGGTACCAGATGTTGCTCCGTATGTAACTGACGCTGATATGTTGATGTATTGGCTCGAAAGTGGAATTTATCGCAGAATGAGGACATGTGTCTTGCACTTACCAACTATAAAGTAGTCGCGCTCGTTTCACCGCAGTAAATTCGCTTCCTCGTGCTTCTATTAAAACTTACTCGAGTTTTCCTTTATAAGACGCGGCGTTTTCTGGTGTTTTGCAAAAGGGATTTCGTCTCGCATTGTTTCCGTATAAACATAATTTTATATACCCCCTAATTGTACAAGTATAATAATCTAACTGCGGGTTATTGAAGAGTTATTAATAAATTTGAACGAAGCACGTGTCCCTGGTGGAAACGAATTCGCCGTTTTAACAGGGCCTCTAAACTCTCAGTACAAATTTGTTAATTTCTCCAGAGACGCATATATACAATTTATAAGGCGAAATAAAGTCAACAATCCTAAAGTCCCGGCATGTCAGGAGCCCAATAAATTTTAGAACGGTGTAATCATCGCGAAACCCCGTATAGTACAACCCTGACGCTGGGAAACGGGAACGCGTTCATCCTTGATTATAATTAAGGTGAAACAGGGTTAGCTTGAATGAATGATAAGGATTTCGGTTGCCCTCTCTCCCTTTTGCCGCCGCCCAGCCATTCAATAAGGTAACTCGATGATGGGGTGTGGAAAACAGGTTGGAATCGGTATTGTCAACGAGGCGCCCGAATCACGTACTTTATTATGAAACATTTGCATTTTTATGACTTCTCAGAATGTTTTCTAATTCGGCTGCCTACGCGTCAACGCCTTTCCGTTAGTCACGAATCTTTCCTTGCTTTAATGATGTTATACATTAGGCCCACATTGTCACATGTCGTTATAATTTAGAGGAGATTGATACTAACTATAGGGGTTGTTAATTTATTTACTACTTACAGCATGCAATTTTATCCTTCTACGTGTAATTTTCGTTTATATTTTACATATAAAGTGTATAACGTGTAATTTTATCCCGAGAAGTCGGAGTAATTTGGCGTAAAAATTTTTCAATTGTTAAACATTCCCCAAACTAAATCCAACTCTGATTTGTATCACGTGACAAATGATTACTTTTCATCTGGGCTGCTGTTCTAGTGTGAGGGTTGGATCCAATACCATGCAGCTGGCGACGCGGGGAATGACACATGTGTGTAAATGGAATAGGGGTAACTTTCAGTTTAATTGCAACTTCACACTCATTAGTACCGGCGGTATGTGAAAGATTTTTTTTATTGCGAGTCATCCCCGCTAAATCCACTTTTATCCCTGCAATTTATTTTATAAACTATACTTATAAGGTGATAAATTAGTTGACATTTTGATTTGTTAATGTTGACAAATTTTATCCGTTGGCATACTGCAAGTATTGTAGTTTTTTCGATCGCTCATACTACGAAGTTTCAATCATTCATTAGGGAATGGCGTGATATTTAATTTTTATTAGGTGGTGTATTAATCGGGGGTGACTATAACCTGGGGTGGCATTGGATAGAGTAGATTTCGAGTGGTCGTTGTTTGCGGAATGCAAAAGGGTCAGACACTTGTACTGCTTGAAATTTTGGCCTTTGTTGTCTAGTCAACATATTTTGCTTAATTATGCATTTCATATGTACAATACGTTTTTCGCTGTGTGTCGATCGATTGAGAATTTATTTGAAATGCTAGAACGTACGTACGCAAGAGTCGAAGCGTATTTTCGTTTCGCTCCCATTCGATTGCCGTTAATTAATACGGTTTCAAAACGTAATTGCTACTCGAACGTTTCTCAGAGTGCTCAGGAACAGATATTGGCAGCGACAGAATAAATAACCAATCAAATCAACGGGATCCTTTCCAATTATTTCGATATTTTCTAATTAGTTTTCCGTCTCGATGGCTAAATAACTCGCCGTAACTTGTAACTAATGAGCAAATTGCGGCCGCTGTGAATTTAAGCCTTTTAACTTTACGCGTAGGATTTATCAAATAATAATAATTCATTGTAAATATGCAATTATCTATAATCATCAACAAATAAAATTACTTTTTTCGTAATAAATGGAGGTATTTTAGAACAAAAACGATTATTATTATACGAGATTTAAATTCGATTAGAGCGCGCTAAGAAATTCCGTTCGACTAATTAAGAGACCTTTCACCTCCGCATGTCAACAATCTCGAAGAGTTAATTCTGTTAGATGTTGGCAAAAAGTGCCCCCGCAAAACGGCCGTAATTCATTTAAAAACTTCACCTCGCCATCATCGACCAGCCTTAGAGCCGCGTAATTATTTCCAACGAGTTTGATTGAAGGGATACTTAACGGCTATATGCGATGGAAAAATCCTAATCAACGTCGCTGTATTTATATACTGTTCGAATTTATTGCTCTGTTAACGAATTTACAATGAGGAAATTTGACGGGCGATTGGTAATTAGCGTCAGTCCGGCTCAGGTTATTGGGGTGGATTTTTGATTAATAAACTTGACAGCGGTTTAAATTGGTATGTTACAAATTCAGTCGTAATTTTTTCTAATGCGATCCTAAATCTTGTGTGACAGTGCAATTCGCATTCGTCGCACGAACGCCACCCCTTCCAATAATATATCTATAATTAATTTACTCTCTATCTACATGCAAACATCTCTTTGGGTGGGTATTAACTATTAACGTAGCCATTGAAGTTAATATTTCAACGGCACCTGTCGGTGGGTCGATGTCGCTTTGCCTCCGTCATTTATTATTATAATTGGTCGCGATGAGCTGGGTATGAGTCATTACGCCTCTCTTGGATATTATTCGACTAATAAATGACTTGTGTGCGGCTAAGGGAGAGTCTTTGTTTGCTCTTTGAAAATACTAAAAATGTCCTGGAATTGTACCTGGTACTTAGTAGAATGTTACATGCAAATAACGACATAGTAATTCTATATTTTGGATAATTTATGTGAGCATGTGGAGGAAAAAGAATTATCATCGCCAGAATATTATGAATGTGCTGGTGTAGATTGCGGTGTAAATAAAGTTTCTGATACATGATTGTATCGATAGAGCAATAGGAAATTTACTCAACCAAAACCTGATGTTCTATATACGTGTGTTTCACGGTGTGTTTCACGGCTCCGCACACGCTAATAACTCTAATCAAATTGGTTATTCTCTGATTGTGCCTAATTGGTGTATTGTATCAAACAATATGTCTTCGAAACGATTCTCCGCATGCCGGCGTTCGATAACTATTTAGTTGTCAAAATAGAAGCGACTAATTGGGAAAAGCTCAATTTTTCGCTAGCCCCTTAAGACGCTTTGCTAATTAACTAATTAATTAAATAATTCAGTCAAGTTCCAAAGATTAGCCTCGTCCGTATTATACGTTTGTTACCTACCAGCATATTCGGGATGTATATAACGAGAGGAGCTTCGCAAGTTAAATTCCGCATCTGTCAGCACCACGAGCACAATAAACAAAACAGCCCTAATTACAGGCTCCCTATGCGAGTGTTAGTCAAACAAAATGAAATTCTGCGTCTACTTCTCTCCTAATTGGCGGAATTCGAGACATTACTATAATAAGGTGGATTATTGCAAGCGACCTAATTTTCCGGTTCGGAACGTACCCGGAATTTCTCATATCTAATATTCATGAAGCACTAATGAAATTTAATTCGTTACATAATTATTCTCTTAAGATTCGAAAAACGTACGCACTTACACGAAGGTGGATCACTACGACGACATACATGTAACATCTATGTTCTAGTATGTACCGTATTTAGTGTAAAACGTTTTTTTCTTAAAATTAGTTATCGTCGGGATTCCGATGCTCTCGTGTTGTTAGCCAGCTTTGTCGGGCGTTCGCTAAGCCGCTTATCTACGATGGAGGAAACGGCGCGGAGGACGTCGACGGCGCGGCGTCGGCTCCCGGAGATGCAACGATGCCGTCCCCCAAATCCGACATCGGCGGGGATTACCAGTCTCTTGTTCTTCTCGCGTAATCTCGCAACAATGATCTGCTTGCCTACTTTCGGTAGATCATCTCGCTCCGAATATTTTGTGCATTATTAAAATCCGGCGTGCGGACGCAAGTAGGTATAATACTCCCGATTTTAATGCTGTTGATGAAAGTGGATACTCTTTAAATTGGGTCACCTTAATGTGATATACTGGAGAAGGTAATTCAAAGTAATGAGTATGTAGGCACTAAACTAGTTGAGATAATAAAATCGAGTTATTTTACAAACGTATATGCTACATGCTATGTAGTATTATTTCTGTATTCATTCGTGATCATAATCATTATAAAAACTCGCATAATGCCTATAAACTTTTATCTGATGTACGTGTATTTTGTTCTGCTATCTTTGTAGATAATCGGATAATCATAAAGTATTAGTTTTTATTATAAGTACATATCAAGTACTTAAAATACAAACATTAAACGAATCACTAATGACTTAATGCAAAAACTTTTCTATTCCACATAGCACCTACTTTCACATAGAGGACTATTTACTACGCCACAATGAATGATTTCCTTTCCACATTTATAACAAATAAAAAAACATAATCACAACAAAGAGTGGATTTGATAGCGTAAATTAAAATCCTGAGTAATCAGAAACACAGCCCCGTGAGGCAGATTTATGGCGGCAATTAAAAACCAACAAATTATTTATTGCTTGCGATACTGCTATACAATGAACAATTTCACCTAAATGAAATTTATGATAATTAATACATACGCACGCATTCAGGCCTTACGGAACATGCTGTTCCATGTTTCGTGCCTGCAAACTAATGAATGTTTAATAATACGCTTACTTCAAACGCTCCTCGTAGTTTTCCAAGACTTCTGGAAATGAAGTTTTAAGTTATTAAGAGAGTGCATAATGCAGCAAAATCTAATATAGCACTCATTCTCAATCATACTTTGTGTGTTGGATAATGAGTTTTTCAAAATAGAACCTTTTTTTAAAGAAATAGGTTAGTTTTTAGTAGTCATTTATCCATACATCATAAATTTTGTATTTGCTTGATTTAATACAGAAGTTTTTAGTTGATGTATATCGTGACAAAACTTTCAAAATTTAATCCTCCTATCAAATTCTCCACGAGAAATTTTTGCTCCTTTTAATAGTGCTATTCATTTATCTAGCTATTCAAGTTCAATTTGAACTTTTTTCTTTATATATCTCGGATTAAAGCAAATAATTTTTCGCTGTTGATGTAAGTCGGCGAGAGAGCACCGAAAGCAATTTATATCCGAGGTTACTGTCCGAAAATAATAACTAGAAAGCCTGGAGAGATCGCTTCTTGACGTTCCGCGTCCAGAAAAATTGTTAATGGGGTGTAAGGAAAGGTTTCTTGAATGGTCGCCCGTCGACATTGCGACTTGTACCACCTGTAGTAAGGGATGAGAAAAGGAAGGAAAAGCGGGCGGCGACGCGCGCATCGGCGGGGCGTGTGGAAAATCCGAAGGGTCGATCGCGGAATCGAGTCAGTCTTGGCGCAATGTTGCTCTGTCGTGTATATAACCGCACGTTTGCGGTCGGCGAACGCATTGTAACCGCTGCCATCGCGCTGATAAAACACGATAAGATCGCGTTTGGTCCAACAGGTATTAGCGCGTATTAGATTAATTATTCTCCTACCTTTCGCCGGAATTATTAAACTCTTATCGACTGTATATGTATTCGCGATTTCCCGGCACGATTTCCAGCCTCTTCGTTAATTAATCAAAGTCAGGAGCGATTCCGTCTGGCCGGCGAGAGGGAACTTTTTCACGACTCGCCTGATATCCGCACACTTTTAATTCGATTATCTGCGGCGCCTTTTTTTTGAGTATTATGCGCGAGGAGGATTTAATGCGATTTTGTGTTATGTGTTGAATGCAACAAGTAAAACCCCATCGTACTAGCACTGCTATTCTGCCGCAGGAATATGTTTTAGATGTTCTCTCGAAATGGATTATGTTAGCACTGTTTGCTGCATTTTGGCCTTCCTGCTTTATTACAACACTTTAGACGCGGGATTCGTGTATGATGATCGGTAAGTTAAAATGTTCAGATTGAAAGTTTCCGACTTGAAAACTTTCAATTTTTTTTATACAAAATATTACGAAATTGTTTTTTAAATTACCCAGAAATGGTTTTTAGATATTTTTTCCCTGCAAATTTCTCAAACTTTTTATTACTTTTTGATTGTTGATTTTTTATGAATAAAATAAGTTCCAAAACTTATTAAATCGTTTAATGTACCTATTCAAGATTGAACATATTTGTAACATTTCATCATTTTTTTAAATATTATTCGAAACTTTTCGAAAACTTTTACAACTTACTTTTTATAGGTAATATCTAACAGAAAATTTTTCCACCTTTTAAATATCCATGCACTTACGTGACTCACGTTTTTTAATGATATAAATATTGACCGGATTTTTCATTAAACACATCCGGTTTCGATTGGCGTTTAACATACGATATAACAGAGAGCGTCAGTTATTTTAGGCGCATTTCATAGTCTGTTTAGGGCGATAGAGCCCGATGCAGATGATTATAAATTACATTTGATCTCGACCAGACACCGGAAATTATTCAAATCAAACCAATTTGTCTCAATTTAGGCATAATCGCTCAATCATCGTCATGTACAAATGTGTAATACACTGCGATCCCCTTGGTAAGTACAAGGGTATTACTGGAAAGGGTTTAAGCGGTCCTTTCATGGTGGATTGGAACCGTTTGTGGATATTTATTTGAGCGCTATGCATATAACAAAATTCCATTTAATGATGAATATTTTTTCAATATCGTCAATTTTAATGCATTACGGATTATTTAGTGGCAAAATAACATGAAAAGTTGTTTATTATCAGGTATCATCGGGGTAGTAATGGGCTTTTAAAGGTAATCGGTAATGTATAATTTGGCTCCTTTCGTTTCGTCCTCCTCAGAAATATTTCCCCAACTAAAGCGAGTGCTATGGCTAAATAAATACAGCTGTTCAAATACAAACACGCAAATGATTATTGCCTTCTATTGATGATAAATAAATTGAAATACTTTATTTTTACTTTGGTATTCCGGCGTTTTAACTATCACATTTTAGGGCGTTCGATTTATTGTTGGAAACGTTTTTCTATCAATCGACTGTCAGTTTGTGCGCTATAAATTCGTCTTTAAGTATTTTTTTTATTCGCTTCAGTTGGGCTTTATTTAGTATTTTTTGACGGTTCTGGATAAATAAAGACCACGTTGATGAGGGACGTTTCCACGTTTTATTTTATCACAATATTTATTCATTCACATCGAATCGAAAAAATAACCCATCAAATATACCTCCCAATAGGAATTGTTCTCGCTGTCGTAAATTATCGGGTTGAAATTTTTGCCAGAAATCGGCAATTCATCAAAACCCGTAAGCTGTTTTATTTCTCCCGTCTGTACAATAATTGATCCCTGCCAGTACGGAAACTGATAATGATAATCTACGCTCCTGTAGATCGATCAATTACGGCGACGTGACGCTCTACCCGAATAAAATTGACAAACTTTCAAAACGCGATTCCGGTTTTCCTATTCAAATTTCGACGAAGCTTCAACAATGATATATTACCCGAGATAAACACGTTCCAGTCGGGGCGATCTATTAGCTGCGCGAAATATATCTAGCTAAAATATACCCCAACTAAATATTTATTGCGATGGTGGGTCTATAGAATACAAAAAAAAACATTTTAAATAAGAACCTATTATAAATGAAAATCCTATTGTATTTAGTAGTTTTAATGGTTAAATTTATGCATGCGTAAGTTTCAAATGCGCATCGATTTTCTTACGATATTCCAACAGGACTTTACATACTAACACTGTATATTCTCGTGGCAAGAAAGCAAATTGCTAGTTATTAAATTAATAAACTAGACTCCGTCTCTATATTAAAAGTGGTATAATCATCAAAACGAATGACATTTACTTATGCAATAATAAACTTTTCGCATTTGTGAAACACCTACGTTGCTTTCTATAAATAGAAATTGATTTTCCCGTGCAATTACCCACCCTATGCCCCGGAGTGAAATGCACGGTGTTGTTACCTCGACTTTTCAGCATGAATTAATAAAGAATTTGAGTGGTGTTGAATTATAAGAAAGCACACAACACTTTGCCTTCCGCAGAGATTTGTTCAGAGGGTTCTTTAATATTTCAAACGAATTGAATTTGGCGTAATTATTATTTTAGAAACATGCAAATGTAGGTACGTTTGTCGAATAGTAATAAATAATTAATGCATTTTAAGTAGACATTACAATTTACTGGTAGTAAGATTAATTGGTTAAATTGTATTTCAGAAAGACACTTACTCGGGTAAACTCCTGCAATGTTATCATAAAATAATGCGGCGTAATTTCATCCCGAATATTTAATGAAATTCCGAGAGATCGGGCAGTGTTTGTACTTCCGGAATAATCTCCTAAATTCAATTATGATTTTGTCGTGACGACATGCAGAACCGTATTTCGATAACTGCTTCAGCTGCAAACGGGAAATAATACGGTTAACGGAGCGTTCGCAGGAATTCCAGCGTTTCCTGCTTATTTATATTTATTGCTCTTAATGTTCTTGCACTGCGCGTTCCATTCAGAAGTAATTGAATAATTTTGTGCAAGTTTCTTATTAAATTTGTAATCCCGCCATCAAAGGGATTCGCGGAATTATCTGTGTGACGGCCGGCGGTATTCGTGTACGTCAGAGGAATACGATATCATTGTCGATGCGAACGCAGAAGAGACCGAAATTACTGAAGATTATCGCGGTACAAACGGGACTCGAGTGGACCTTTCAAAGGCGAGGACCCAGTATGGATAAAAGGAGACCATAAAGGGGGCCTCCAGTTATAAACAGCGTATACACCGGGAGGCCGGTCGCCGGTACACGATGCTTTCGGAATTTAATTGAATGGCTCGTTTTCAAAATCATAACACGTATAACGAGCACAGGGTCGGTTTGGGGGCTCTTAGAGCACAATACAACAAAGAATTTGCCCGAGTTAGAGTTATCTTTAGTATAGATGGGAATGTATAGATATAAATTTATATATAGGTATTATAAAACTTTTCTTTCACTGCATAGTACACTTATACCGATTGAAAATGAGCGAAAGAACTGTAGACAATAATTAGAATAAACGGTATTTTTTTGTTTCAAAGTGTTCTTGCGTCGAATTTCAATTCTCTCTTTGTCCTTTTTAGACGCTATTTTTAACCGGCACTCGTCTAATTTTATTTAAATTCAGTTTACGCTAATGAGCGAATTAGATTCCCTTTAGTTTTCTTGAATTAATTAATGTAGATTAAACGAGTTTTCTTTTAAACAGAGAATAGTTAAGATTTCCTCTCCGAGAGAGCATTCAAACAATTATAATGAAAAACTATAATTAAGAAGATTCGCCTTACCCAGCGAGTTTTCTTTATATACAGAGTTACTCGGAGAGATTTTATTATAATTACTTTCATATAGTATTCTTAACATGTGAGTGATTTAAAAGTGTTTGCTGGTCTATTGTTTAGGATTCTCCTAATTTACAAACTCAATAATTGAGGTCGCTCGCTCGGTTAAATCTGTACATTCAACCTTTGAGCGCCCGCTCGATCGGAAAAAGGAAGCAGAAAAAAAAATCGGTATAGTTTGATTAAAGTCGACGGGAAAGAAAAAGGACTATCGAGCGCGAGTTTTCAACGGTTCCGGGTAAAAACGTCGGCGAAGTTATGAATAAATGAAAACTTTCCGCCGACCGGTTGGCAAACTCGCCCTCTCCTGCTGGATTGACGCCGAAACACGCCGAATAGATGGATGTGTATTTGATTTTCTTCTTTCGCTCAAAACTAAATTTCGACGAAACTTGCCGAAACTTATAGATTCGGCGATATTTATCATTTTTCAGGTGGGGCGAAAGTTCGATATCGGTAACATAATAGATCGTTTTTTAAGAGAAAACCTAATGATGAAATATTATAACCAAGAAAACATTCGAATTAAAGTAAAGAAAAATTGTGGATTTATAATATCTTCTGAAGAATTATGTACAATATTTAAGATTGTGCAGGCACCAATTACACTATAAACAGCTCTTTTATTTTTCGAGTTCTTCAATCATCCGCCTTCCGGTCATTGGCTTATGACTTCCACTGACCCTCCCGGCTTAATTAACTCCCCCAAATGAAAAAAAACCAACGAATTCAATTAGGCCTATTGTTTAAAGGATTAGTGTATAATTATGGCTAGGGTTTTTCGTCGTCTGCTTGGTTTTGTACACGTTGAATTCAATTTCGAGATAAAAGCAAAAGCAAGGAACGTTCATAATTAAATGTAGGTATAATATGAATTGCAAGAGGATTTCGTCATGTTTAAGGAGAAATTGGTTTAATGATGTTGGTGTATTATTAATTTATATTCATCTGCGTATCATGAGTTCTGAGCGCATGCATGTGGGGATGATGAAAATTAGAAGCTACGTAAAAGGTTTTTTTAGTCGAATGGAACGTTTCGCTGATGTTGTATTATTTATTGCGAAATAAATAATAGCTGATGGAAATGTGATTCGATGTTGTGTGCGGTTTGGTCGTTTAATTGAAACGACATTTGTTATTAGATATAACACGCAGTGGCACGCTATGAAATATACAACGTTAATCTATCGGCACGCTCTACAGTAATTTTGTAAATGTAAAATATAGACGCTCGGTTTGAATCGATTAGCGTTTCAAACGTTTGCATATTCTAGCAAGTACATACGTATATTCCATTGGTAATCTATTTTACTTATATGGTTTATTATCCTCTTTCCCTCTCTATTTTATCCATTGAATCAACAAAGCAAGATAAAACTCTGCTTCGCAAGCTCGATTAACACATTTGTCTTATTACTCTATTAGACTAGACGGGACAATAACATAATGCGTGAATATAATTTATTGAAATTGGAATATAAAACACCCATGAAGTCCATTAATTTCGCAGTTTTGACGATTGATGGCGGTAATTTAATGGAAATAATTCTATGATCGTAATGTTGCAGTTACAAAATAATGCACGAATAAATATTATACTATATATTTAAATTTTGCGCGAATAATAAAACTTGTTTCATAGTTTCGATAAACGACCTCGGAAGGGTAATAAATATTTCGGAGCCTCAATGGAATAAATTGTACAGTTGATACGTTGTGATATTTTCGAAGAGAATTATTTTAGTTATTGAATCGCTTCGAAATATACGGAATATAAATAACAGTTATTTATAAAGTGATATCTCAAAAATTTTTCCATTGAATAAAAAATAGTCATTATTAAAATATTCGATCCTTTTCAAATAGTCTTAATTAATTTCACCGACAAATATAAACTTCGCCCTTTTTGAATCAACACAAACTCCAATAATACTACATCAAAACTCCCATCAAAAGCATTTATTCACCGTTTGATATAAATATATTGTTTTGCAGCTTTGACATTTGACATGAAATTTAATATTAATTTATTCGATTAAAGCTATTTTCTGTATTGCATCGGATGGGCCGCCGAGGACTTTTTTTTTAATATTAATTACTATGGAATGAAAACGCAAATCCCGAATGTTTTGTTAGGCAGATGGTTATTAAAATTATCAGCAGTATCACATATTTATGCAGTAAACGTAATCCTCGTTCCGAATCAAAATTTTGTGCCTATTTATTTCAGGAATTTTGTTAAAATCGGCTTTTTTGTTTTTTTAATACCTACAACTTTTTGGTAAATAAAATTTCGAATTGATTCAAAACGAATTGACTTTAGTTGTTGGCAAATGGAAAAACTCCCTTGCGAAAGTCAAAAAGGCAGAAGGGAATAATGACAAAAATGCGCTGATAAATCATCCGCCATTAAATCGGCATTACCTATTATAACGGATGTGATTCGAGCTCGGCGTTCTTTTCCATAAACCCTCACTTAAACTCGTTAGTATTGATTAGTTGTTTGATATGCAAGGGAAGGGCCGATTTCGATACGGCCCTTTCCTGCCTAGCGATATCGCGAAAAGCCGCTTTTTCGGGATAGTTAAACCTTTAAACAACCTAAAAGGTTTTCTTAAACAAAGTGTTTTAAATTTACATACAAATTTCCAAAGTGTCGCGCCCTTTCGATCTCGAGAGGGTGCGATAAAACCGAGAAAATGAAATGGATGTCGAACTGTTTAGGTGTTAAAAATAGGCCAGGATGTTAAAAATATGCTTGTTAATGGTAATGTAAGTGCTATGTTTGTCATTTCGAGGCTTACAGATGAATAATTTAAAAGTACTGAAAGGAATTATTTTTAAAAGAGCCCATAATACAGTACTTTTTAATGGATCTTCTCAAAAATTAATAGATATGGATGTAAAGAGAACAAAATAACCTGTGAAATGTTAAAAATAATATGGATAGAGATGCTCCACATTTATTTCTACTACCTTATTACTACTATATTTTTCGAAAAAACCAGGCCTATTTTGTGTTGGATCAAACGAAACACGTAGAGCAAGACGTTACATCCGCGACGAAGATTTGATGTTATGTTAGCAGAATGTTTTCCTATTTTTCGAGCCATAAAACCTGAACGCTCAGATAGAGAACGTCAGTAAATGAAAATTATTAGCATTCCTCTCGTGTTGCTGCAAGTCAATGGGTCGGAACTTATAACCTCTTCCGAACAATCGCATAAATCGTTTTGGAATTATCATTTTAATTGAATTCCTACCCCACGGTAATTACTGCACAATTGTTTGTATTCGACGGGCCCCGTGGCAATATTAAGGGTATATTAAACCGGGGGTGTTAGAAAATATTGCTTAATGGAGGAATGCAATAATACAATGCTTGCTATTTATTACCCCTACGCAAGATTCCTAGCAAATTTGATGATTCTTAATATAGTTAGACCCAAAATGCACTACTAATCATCCTTCTGAAATTGCTCAAAATATTTACAATCTTCTCTCTTGTTACAGGCGGGCGATATTGAGCAATCCAGACTTGTTATCGAAGACGCCGTGGAGTCGCCTTCTGGAGAACGACTTCTGGGGCACGCCGTTAAGCGACAGCGGATCCCACGGATCGTATCGCCCCCTATGCGTCCTGACATTCCGGCTTAATTACGTCCTGGGGGGCTTCCAGCCGTGGGGCTACCACCTGGTGAACGTCCTGCTTCATTGCCTGGCCACGGCTTTGCTCATCCGCATAGCGAGACTGATATTGCCAAAGACGAAATCTAAAGTCGGATCGCTCGTGACTGGCTTGGTATTCGCCACGCACCCGGTGCACACGGAGGCCGTAGCCGGGGTGGTGGGAAGGGCCGATTTGGCGGCATGTAATTTCTATTTCCTCTCCCTGCTGGCCTACATATCTCACGTGAAATGCCGCGACACCACGTACTGTCACCGGTTTTGCAAGAACAACTCGCTGACCAAACCGGACTCGAAGCAGTACCAAAAAATCGTGTACGCTTTGCAGAAGAACGTGACGAGTTGCAACTGGCCTAAGAGGAACTTCAAGGACCTGGAAAACAATGAAATTACAACCGCGGTGGGCGTCATCTTCAACAGCAAGGGTACTTTTAGTTCGTGTTGTCGGACGAATAATTTAAAGTTGTGGTTGTACCTGGTTTTGAGTTTGTTGTTGGCTCTGGCCGCCATGCTGAGCAAGGAGACTGGAATTACCGTGCTGGGAATATGCTTCATCTACGATCTAATATACTGCATGTCCAGTAATAAGGTAATTATAATGTTATAGTTTATTTAAAAAAAGGGATAATTAAATAGATATTTAAAATTTGTTATGCGTCACATTTAATTAGCACGGTATAGAAGAAGCCTAAAAAAAGAGGAAACTACGTATCAGTAAATTGATATAACCTACCGAAGCCTATCGTACCATTGAGTTTTAAAACAGATTTTTTTCGAATTAACTAAACGATACAAATGGGCAAGAAACGTGACACTATCGATTGCAGGTGATTTTTTTATGGCTTTTAATGATTTATTCCATAAATAATTTATGAAAAAGAAACGCTCTTCAGTGTATACATAACTTCTATCGGGATAATATTAAAATAGATCAATACATAAACAAGAGATCTAACGAAATGTATACGAATATTGCATATGGTTTTCGAGCGTCAATAAATGTATGCATTATGCATACAAATATACCTACTGCTATTCATAAAGTCAATATATTATTCAAATAGAATCATAAAATAATATTTGAAGTTTAAAAAATCTCTACAAGAAAATAAAGATACCTACAAACTTTAGTAGAAAAATTAATAAAAATATTGCATTGAAGGAATGTTTCTTAATTTTTTAAATATTCTCAAGAATTCAGCGCGAACAAAATGGAAAACAAGTAAATCAACCAGGACGATCAATCAATCAATTCTAAAACTTTTTGCAACATCCGAGACCGCTAAAACTTTCAAAAACTTGTAAAGACAAACTGTTTACTCTCACATCAACTTTCAATATAATTACGTCCTGTATCTGACGTAGAATTTATAACTCGAAAAATGCTAAAGAATACACGCTCTACATTCGCGTTGGAACAAAAAAAACGCAAGCCGGCTTTGGGAAACTTCGAAATCCATCGAAAATTGATTGGTTTTAAGTTAAAGTTGAGTGCCTTGTACCTTCCCGGACATTGTGAGAAAAAAACCGCTAAAAATTTTTCGCGCCTCGGCAAAGTTTTGACTCTACGCCATGAATTTTAATTTCCCGTTTCCCAATCAAAACAAAGCGACAAGCAAATCTCGCCAGATATTAAATATGTAAATAGGAATTATTTTGAAAAAACTTTTTACTTACTGACAAATTTAAAAAAAATTGAGAGTAGGTATGAGGTATAAAAAATACAAAGCACATAAGTCTTACTTGAGTTAGTAAATTTTTGGGAGTTAAATTCATAATTGATAATTTGCATAATGACCTAATTACGCTTGCATACAATATTGCTTCGAATGTACCTTACCGACTAAACATGAACAAGGTTTGCTTAATTTATGCTGACAGCTATCGCATGCTCAAAAGTTAAACAAGCTTTTGAGTGTTTTTTATATAGAGCGGATTGCGTTTCAGACAGAAACGAAATTTAATAACTCTCGAACATGCCAAGAATTTATAAATCCCGGCGCAAATACAGATTTAACGAAAATTTGTTCGCCTAAAAGCTGCAAGAAAGATGGAGTAATTCCTTTTTAAATTAAATCCCACTTTTGATTCGTATACGCGATAATGGCACGCGATTTAATCTCGACGCTCGATAAAGTCATTTCCAGGCTCCCAATCAATTTTGACCGCACACATATACGATGAAATCTCGAAAAATATTAAAGGAACAAAAGAAAGGGAGGTCGCAATATATCTTATTTCCGACCTACATGTGGTTAAATATAGTATCTTAATTGAAAATTTTACCCGCAGTCGAAAGAATATGGCGCTGTTTTGTGTGAACACGTGTTAGAAACGATTCGTTCGTTCACCCTACTTTTTCCTCTCGTATCAGTCGAAATTCCGATTAAGAACTCTTTAAAAATCTAGAATATATTTTTAGTTTTCTTCCAGATATCCTCGTTATTCTCTATTACTTCACTCCGCTCGTCCATAAGAGTAATCTCCAATACGAATATGTTATAATAAAAGAATTTAACGACTTCTGTACCTAGTTTCTTCTTTAGCTGATCGATTCCAGCCATCGGAGCGGAAACCTTTTCGCTATGGCTTTAATATCATCAAACTTCTGTCTATTGTAACCGTTTTATTTCTCATCGAGCTATACAACGACATTTCTGAGCGTATTTTACGATTTGTCGGATACAAAATTTAATCTTTTCCTAGTAAACATTTTTCCAATCGAGGATTTACTGAACTGAATATATCGGAAACTCGTGTATACGCAATCTAAATAAAACTCTCGGGATTTTATCCGGTTCTTTTCGATGGATTAGAAGCGATTTTAATTAAAAAAAATTCGTCGTCGAACGAAAATATATGGAAAATACGTTGTTATTTCTTTTCGTTTATTTTTTATGCTTTTGTAGCTCGAATGACAGGCTCTCCTGTGGATTATTTCATTAATTCTCTTTAAAGTTTTCTTTCCTTGATTAATGTTCCTTGCAAATTTTTTGTAGACTCTTTCAATTTTAAACCTTTATTTATAAATCTATTTAATCTCGTTTCTGTAGTTCTGTCTACAGACTTTTTATTTTGTAGACACCCTGTAGACTCTATTATGAACTATTCTCAGTATTCCTGAAATTTTCTCTAAGCTCACGTCTTTGGGAATAAATTCAATTTTTTTCCATCCATTTATTAACATCTCCTGCTGCAGCTCGGGCGATATGTCGTGAAACGTGGAGCCCTCGATTCGATATTAACTGGGAACGGGTCAACATGCGAAATCAATTTCTTGGTCGGCGTTCCGATTACGTCTTGAACATTATCGGAGGCGGTGGAGCCGACGAGATCGACTTCTTGTTTTTAGTGCTCTCTTTCTACCGGCTTCGCGTGCGACGAAAACGAAAAACCGGTCGCCTCCGATGTTCGGCAACGGTACGTTTAATGACCTGAAATTGCCGGTGAATTATTTCACCCCCAATTGAGCGCGGGCCCGGCGAATTTCTCGACTAGAAAAATTAACCGATCAAACAACTTTTAGATTGGCATCTCCGTAATGTGTATAAATTCTCGAATCTCAAAAATGTTTTCCCGAAAAGTCGAACCCACCTCGACAGGAGTACATAAAAGTGGATTTATTCGTTCGGCATTTCTGGTTAATACAAAGAGACGCATACATTTCCCTCCTGTCGCCCTAAATTTAACCCGCGGCATTTATTTTTGAATCGAGATCGCTGCCGGCTTATGTGCAACTTTCCTAATTTAAATAGAAATAGTATCCGTATATCACGGTCGATCAGATAAAGTCGCAAATCGAATTTCCTCTCGTCCTCACTTAATGAATTATTGTAATTCGATGCCGATGGAAAATATGAAAGCGCCCGCTGCACCCCTTTTCTCCATTTAGCCGCTTATCGGACACCGTCCCGGCGCTGCTTGATCAATTCATTCCGGGGGGAACGAGGATGAGGCGAATAACTCGATGCCGTATCGAGAGGACGCCTTCGATATTCCTGCGGTTCCTGCTGCGAAAAGGGTCGCCGGCAGGAGGATCGGGCCGACGCGGGGACGAACATGTGTCTCGACCGCTAAATTGCCGCTATTAAGATCGAACTCGATAAGATGACGGAAAAAGCATTAAAATCGAGCTTTTACGACCCCAATTGCACTTAGTTCGGCGATTAGAAAATTGCAAACAAAGCTTTAGGGTATGTCTAGATTGCGCGATTAAATATGTATAAGTATATGGACATTTTTTTAAAAATTGAATAGGCAATTAATGGAGCATACTTTATTCATTAATTAATTAATAAAAACTCTAATAAACTCTGGGTATATGTAATAATATTCTTGGAACTTGAAAAATATAAGTTGTTTAGTAGACAGACTGCGCAGTGTAACGTGCATCCTTGCGAATTCTCAAACTTGGGTAATATGGACTAGTAAAACATGTTAAAACATGGATCGACCAACACTTACGGCAGCTAGTGAGGGAAAACTTTTCCAATTTCATCCAACGAGACATTCTAATGGTAGCGAATATAGCGGCCGGTATACGTGACACGTTAAAACATGTCAAAGTTGGAATAATCTTGAAGCTGCCAGAGGAGAATTTACGAGTATCGAATGCAAATTATTTTTTCAACTACCACGTAAAATGCAACGAAATAATTGGCCATTTGTGTTAGCAATTTTGTCGAACCAATCAATTCGATTACCAAGAGGTAAATTCGAGTAGTATTTTAATGGAAACGATTTTAGCCGGGCGATTTTTCGAATTCGAAATACCCCATAATCCGCCGATTTTAATCAACGTTATGCGCGCTTTTAAAAAATCACCGTGGAATTGATTAAAAAAGGCCACCCCCGAGGGCGAAGAGTCGTCCTAATGGGGCGCAGCCTGGCCCATTTCGACTGTCGAACGTAAAAGCGGAGATCCTTGTGGCATGTCGAACATTCCCAAGGATTGGGTCAGGATAACGAGCTTTTTTGCGCAGCATTTTGCTATCCTACATGCGCCTAATGCTTCGAGACGTCGACACACGACGGGGAAAATCTCTCCAGTAGATGGACGCAAATACAATCTAAAGTAAACAAAAAGTATTTTCTACAAAATAATATATCTATCCAGTTTTGCCAAATTCTAAACACTTTAAATCCTGTGCATAAGAGTAGAAGTTAGGTATAAAGTTCCTAGGTATAAAAAATTGTCCGTATAGAATATCATGCATGAACACAATCGCCGAAGATCTTCCTTAATAGGGACCTCGGGACGCCCTTTGTGCATACGAAAAACATCCGCGAATTATTTATACCTCATTTCTTTGTGACCGTATCAAATTTGAATGAGGAAAAATAAATTAGGTTATGAATAGGATTGATGTAACATCCCGCTGAATGGACGGATCGGGATAGATAACGAATCGGTTTTTTTTTGTCGGATAAATTGATGTAATAAAGCTTTTTTCTGTATAAGAATCCCCCGGATCTTTTTTTTTTTCGGTAAAAAGGGTTATAATACAAAATCTGACAGCAGCATAAAAGAGAAAGAAATTATACGAGGTTCGTCCTCTGTTGAATATTGTTTCATAATAACAAGTTTTATCAAAACCAGTTTATTTGTCGGCATTTAGTTTCCCTTATTCCGGAGTTTTGTCTCAAAATTCCACAACAACCCGGACTTGCTTCTGTTATTAGGGAGTGTGCCTGTTCTGTTTCTACACCATTTTGTATTTAAGCATTAATATTCAGCATTTAGAGCATTTGCATTCTCGGTGGACTTCGGAACGGCTCTAACGCTGTAAAGGGTAGCCCTCGAGGCTCCGCCAAATAGAATAAAATATAAAGCACGTGCAGGTTGTATCCTCCAAAACGCAAAGGATATAATTATCTTGACGTTGTCGCCTTTTACACGGAGACCTTTATTTGTGTTGATCTGTTTGAAATAGGACCAAACGTATAATAATATAATACAAAACGGAATGTACTCGAAACACAGAGTGTTTGGCCCACCGGGTATAGCTGCAAAACCGTTTTTTAATAAAGCCCGGAATGCATTTTGGAGAATGATCCGACGAACCGTCGCGTCAAACTCGCTTTGAAAAATGATAAAATCATGTAAAATCCGGAGAAGAATGCGAATAGCGGAGCTATCCTACGTTTTCGCCTCTCAACTGTAATCTTAAAGGCAAATGATATGTAGGAAGTTCCGCAGTTCAAAGACAATATAGTTCACACGTCTCAATTTTCGAACTTATCAGTATTCGATTGCATGTCGGAATATCCCATCATTTCTCACTTTATGCTAAGATAGGTCGGATTTGGCGCGGCTCCGGGTAAAAATAAATCGAATTGAAAAGTATAAAGAAGAGTTTAGTGAATACTGGTTGAAGCTAATTTATTCATTATTACCTGCAATACAATATAAAATGTAATGAGCTTTGTGATATGATTTGTGATGTTTAATAATTAGCGAGTTTCAACGGTGTGGATCGATGGGAATACGAGATGTAAACGAGATGCGTATCAAGGTGAGCAAAAGTGGACCGAAGTTTAGGGCTTTAACCTAAGGACTAAAGCCTCAAGTATTTGAAGTAAGTTTGCGAATGGTGGAGATTATAATGATTATCATGGATAAGCAAAGTTTATTAACTTAATGACTTGTAATGTTCGCCAGTTTAAGCGAAATGATCTCGTTCATTTGTGAATTGGGACTATTTTAAATCAAATATAAATTTTCATTAAGAAGAAACTGTTTTCGCGTATGTACAATTCGAGTGCTTCCGTACCTTCTGAAACTCCTCCAATATACCGAACAAGTTTCGTGTGCTTCAAACAGAAATGACTCCATCTCCTATTCCAAAAGTTTCCTCTCCGCCTTCCGATGCAATCCTTTCGTTGCAGGAAATTTCGACATAGCAGAATTTGCGTGCGAGGTGCTCGATATTCAACCGAAATTAATTTCCTGTTCGAACACTGACAATGTTACCGACGGAGTTTCGAAGATTTACAGACAGCACTATAGATATACAAAAATTCATCGAGAGTATAAAATGTTATTGGAAATGTGTAATTACGCGCTCGTCTCGCGTTTGGAGAAGCAGGTATATCTCGGAAACAAATTGCAAAAACGGCATTACACAAATTGAACGCATAAATTTAATTCCGTCTCTTTCGGAGTTGTTACGGTGAATGAACTGGGCGCAATGAAATATTAAAGCGGCGTAATTGCGAAAGTTCCCGGAATTCGATACTTGGGGTACATTCGAGAAATTCGCAATGAAACGCTATATTACTAATAGAAGATGCCGTTTCTAAAAAAAATTATACAGGGCTGGTTATACTGAAAGTAGGTACCTACCTATAGGAATATATTGTTTGTTATTAATTTAGGTTATATAGGTTATATTTTCCGGCATGTGGTAAAATTTACGGGTATAAATATTTATTAAGAAATCTTGTTGGTTTACCCCGAAGTAATAGAAAATTCTCTGCAGCGAAATTGACAAAAGACAGCTTTAATAAAAGCTCTTCTACATATTATAATATAATTTTCGTGGCGAAATCGAGAATTTTTACAAACTTTACTATCGTGTTATTCGCCTGCAGGAATTTTATTATTTTATAGCGAAAAATTCTGCTAAACAAATTGCCTTGCAGCTAAATAGCGAGCAAAAAAATCGTGATTATTTCGGTAACTAAGTAATAAATATTGATGATGTGCATGGTTTTTAATTGTCTTATTAATACGGGAAAATTTGGGTTAATTAAAAATTCAATACTAAATTTGAAAAATCTCTGGCTACATTATAAAAACTATTAGCGAATGAATTGAGGTAGAGCAAACAAACCGACAAGAGACTACAAACATCGCTTTATATGATTGCGACAAGGTGTTTCTATTTATCCAATATTTGTTCGCGATATACGTTTTTTGTGTACAATGATGTTAGCTCTGGAGGAACAATGAAAAGATATATTTTCCTGTAAGAGGCAAAATCGGAAAACATTCTCCTTATATTTACGAATACAGTTTATTGACATAACAATCGCGTAGATATCCGACACATTATTGTAAACAAACCCCTCAAGCAGTTTCTTCTTCATTTCTCGAAATACCAAATGTACTTATTGATTAATAAAGAAGCGAGTGCATTTTATAAGTAAGCTGAATATTAAAATTCAATCTAAATACTTTCTGTTCGAGAAACGAATCCTCACAGGATAAACCGAAAGTTTGTTAAAATTCTTTTGTCGTAATGCGAAATATTCTTCAGAAGCGAAGTTGCAAAATTTTCGAAGTTAAGTCAAAACACGACTCCGGCTAAAAACTCGAAGGCGTAAATTATCTTCAACTTTAATTCAATCGTAAAAAAGTTCCGAAGAGGGTTAGAGCTTCAACAAACATTATATCCTTCAAACTTTGCCAATCAGCATAAAAAACTCGCCATTTCGGTAATAGATTCGAATTTAACTATAACGTTTGCCTGGAAATAGAATTGTTCTCTTCTAACTTAGAGGCTTTGTTTCTGTTGCTTTATTGCTGCTGTAAAATCTTACTATTACATTGCTTGGAAATGGGCTTGTATTATAGTAGAAACATTTTGAATAATTTTTAAATTTCCTAATGCTGCACCATTTCGTGTTACGTGTTTACTTGCTTATCTCTACACGGGATTAAATTAGTAAACGAACATCATAAGTCTTAATTACAATCATTTCCAATGTTACCGGTAAAATTATGTTCTCTGCGCTGTTTTAAAATCCGCTCTAAATCCGCATTGCTTCATATTCCCGAAGGAGAATGTTCGTTTCGTTGTTTCCTTCGCTACGTTCCTGCGCGAAGATATAATTCACTAAGAAACTCGAGAAACATACTACAGAAACAAAGATTTATGGATGTTTATTACTTCTCCCTCTTTTATTAAATTGTTTTTATTTTCTCGATATACTATACGTATGATTGAAAGTTCAATTAAATCGCCTCAATAAACGAGTTTGCATTTATTTTAATAATTAAATGAATTAAAGATTAATTATTGTATTAAAATTTTGGTGAAAAAAAATCTGATTAATATAAAAGAATCGAATTTGCGCATCGAAATGAATATATTCTCGTATCTCTCTTTTCCATTCATCATATTTATATTTACACCCGTCGGATGGAATTCGAGCGAAATTTATTCAACTCCTGGTTTTGTTTCAGAAACAGACTCGGAGCTTATTGATTCTCGCTTCGGCCCTGTCAATCATACTGGCTGTCAGACTGCAAGCACGTACGCCGCATTTTTCCAGCGCGGATAATCCGACGGCGAAGGAGCCGGAGTTTCTAACGAGATTTTTCACTTTCTCCTATTTACCTGCGTTTAACTTTTGGCTGTTGATTTATCCCAATAATCTGAGCTTCGATTGGGGCATGGACGCCATACCGAGGATAACGACGCTCAACGACTACAGGATAATCGTCACGTTCGCGTTTTACTATTGTTTAGCGTGCGTACTGAAGAGGAACGTTAGGAAAATCGTCGGCATCCAAAGCGAACAGTTCAATTGCAAATCGGACGATAACTGTACTGTGTGTCACATGAATTGCTCAGAAATCCATTCGGTCTCTTGCAGGAATACGAATAACAACAACACGACGAGTTTCTTCTCGTCCTCCTGCGTTTGTTTGAACATTTGCAGACCGTTGGTCGTGTTGAGGCATCACGAGAAGAAACGCTGCCACACAAACGCCACTATTTTATTGTCGTTCGCGTTCCTAGCTCTTCCATTTCTTCCCGCTACTAATATATTGTTCTACGTGGGTTTCGTGGTAGCCGAAAGAGTCTTGTATCTTCCCAGTGCTGGTTTGTGTCTTCTGTTGGGCCTCGCCAGCGGCACCCTGTGGGACAGTTATAAGAGACAAAGACCGGTGTTTCTGTGCGCGTTTGTGATGGTACTGGCGGCTTTCAGTGCCAAAACTGTATTTAGGAATAAAGATTGGAAGAGCGAAGAAGCCTTGTACAGGTCTGCGGTGCCTATTAATCCACCCAAAGGTATGTTTATTTTATTTGTATATCTACCTGCAGTAGGTAGTAACAGATCTTTTTATTAATACCGCTAGGTAAATACAAAGAGCATCAATGTGAATCGATACAATTTCTCACAGTAACATTTCGCTCCCCATTAGAGCCGGAGCCTTCGCTCGCTTAACTCGACTCTGTTTCCAATAAAATAACACCGAAATGCTTTTAGAAGATCAGTGACACAATTTTCTTGTTTCCCTTTATACTGTCAAGACCTTAAATTTCATATATTCCATCATTGACATGTTCAAGGAGGCTATCGTTTTTCAACGCTAGAATTCGATATATAACATTTTCGAATCGTCTGCAGTTTTATGTTACATACTTCAATAGTTGATGTTTTACTTTTACAAACGATGTTGTTTCTACAAATAAACTAGAAACTGTCGAAAACAGAGGTAAAAAAAAGAATGCAAATAACAGAATATTGTACGTTCTAGTTAATATGGCGTTGACGTCACAAGCGATGTTTCCATATACCTAGTAATATTTTACTTTTGTATTTATGATTATGTTATGTTGTTTTCAGCGTATGGAAACCTGGGTAGCGTTCTGAACAGTCAGGGGCGGATGGACGAGGCCGAAATAGCGTTCAGAAAGGCCCTGCAACACCGACCCAACATGGCGGACGTCCACTACAATCTGTAAGTACTAAATAAATAAAATATACGACCATAAACGACGACGTATCTGCAAAAGAATCACTCCTAATGGGTTGTTTTGTTTTTTTTTGTTCATTTCTCCCAGCGTGGCCGACAACCCAAAATGCCCTTGTTTATTTTATATTACCTCGCATTCCGAAGGCCATTCGCCTGGCCCTTTTGGAACCCATGCCGGCTGCCTCGGTCACCCAACAATTCATAAATTTCCCTCCGTACTATAATAATAAAGATTTCCCAAAGGCCGCACGAGTGGCATTGCGGTTGTAATATATTTTTAATTGTCTCCATTAATCTCCTGTTGGAGGAAACGCAAGCGCCGGCAGTGGCGTAATTTCGAAATTATACTTCTCCCTGCATTACTCCGATGGGCAGAGGGATGGACCAAAGAAATGCGATAATTAAGTGAGGTTGAAATAGTAGATTTATAGCGCTGTGTTATAGCCCAGTTTTATTCGAATTTTTGTAGACTTTTTTATATGAAACACAAACTCTCAAGCACTTTATTCGAAACATTAATTCATTAAATACATGCACTAAGTACAAATTAAATTAAATAGCTCTAATGAAAGTCATTAAGAGTACCATCATCGACTAATTTCGATTAATCGCTTTCGATAAAACTTCCGTCCCGAAATGGAATTCAAATAAAGAAACTCGTTATTTTTATTATTATTCAGCGATTACTTAGCCCTCATAAATTTTCATTGCCAAGTTAAACAGAGTGAAATGCGGAAACTTTTTTAATATGAAAATTTCCCGGAATTACAACGCAATCATAACATTACGCCGGGCGAGTTTCGATATGAATTATTAAAAGGTAACTGGATCGCAAATTAATTCTAGATCAAAGCCGAATCTAATCCACTATTCATTTTAGAGCTCGATCCAGCGGTATCCGCTCTTCTTTTCTACAATTTTCTTCCGGATAATCTTCGGAGCAGAACCGGACTCAAGACGCTGGATAAGCTTCTAGTCGTATTTTTGTTGAGCTTGTTTATTAACTATGTTTTCGTATTTGCTTCGCTTTCAAATCTGGGTTTAATTATGTCACCGGAGAGGCCTGGTCTACTTTCCGACTCTAAAACGCCCGACTGTTCCCCGAGGAAATTTGTTAATAAAAGCAGCAGCGCCTCGCATACGCCAAAACTAATTCGAAAGTTATTAAATAACAATGTTTATTGTCTTTCGTGTAGCGAAAGAAATTTTTAATACTTGAAATGCTCGCCTTCAATTCGAGTCCTATAGGAAAACTGTTTCTAACAAAATTAGCGATTTTGTGTGAAATTTTTACTTATCCGGTTCTGGAATAAAACAAAAATACTCCGGTAACTCGAAGGCGACTTTTAATCTTTGACCCTAATCACCTAGAAACCCAATAAGTAGAGACTTACGTAAAAGTTGGGGTGTAGATTCGAGACATGCATTGCTAAAATTTTACCCAGTAAATATATATTTCCAGGTAGTCATTAGATTAAAAAAGTTACCAATCCCTGCAGGTATATACCTAAATGCTATGTATTTCCGTGTAATATTTGCGAAATCTTTGTTTGTATAGCAGTTTCAACGTAAGAAAAATAACCATCCGGTACACGGTTTGATTCCAATTATCTCTCCCCGGAATAAATGACGCCGTAACGATGAGAACAGAGAAACAGAAATCTGAACAATTTAATTCAATTCTCTTCTCGTTTCGGCTATATTGTGTGGATAATGAAGCCGCAACAGGGTTTGATAGGATAGAGGAGAGAAAGTTTGCGATGGTCGTCGGATCCCGCAGTATCAAATTTTCATTTAAAATTCCTTCCATTCACCCGAGCCGGAGGAATGTTGTGCATCGAGGACACTTCGCTCCGGGTTGATAGTTTATGCAATATTCAATATTCATAGAATGCATCAGATCTATGTAAATTTGCATAGTTTATTTTTTATACTTCAATTAAAAAAAAACTCTTCTTATATTATGAACAAAATCGTGGATGCATACAAAATCATATTAAATCGAATAAACCAGCTGAATAAAATCCTTTTGTACTAAATCAAATTACTCGTTAATTAATGAACGCAAATAAGAAATTTCCCATTCATTCGTATAGTAATTTTTCCGCAATAATTATTCCACGCACAGACAACACCCCACGCGTAAGGGAAAAACATTTCAACCTCATTTCCATTCGAATGGCTGTCGATTGCTCGCGAATTTCCATCCGATTCATCCGGGTTTTGGCTTGGAGTTTTGTCCCATATCTTTTAGCTGCTCTTGTTCTCCGTATGTTTCACTGATCAAAGACATATTGGAGAGAATGGGGAAATTCGGATTATGAGAATTACTGGAACACGACGCCAAAAGCTGTAGGGATACGGGATGGAGGAATGTTTATTCAATAAGGGGTTTGATTTGTGGTATTCGAGGATCTCGAATATATATAGGATGTAGGGGGATAAACAAATAATGGAGTTTCGAACGAAGTAATTGTATTCTTTCAAAATATATTTCGATTCACAACCGAATTTACGTAAAAAAACATTTGTTCGATTCATTAAAAGTAACGCATAAATCAACAAATCTAATGCACCTACCGTTTAAATCCTAAAAGCATTTTTCATTCCGGGCGACGCGATTACTTTTCCAAATCCCGTAAATTCCTGTTTTCATTCTCTTCAATCCCGAAAGTCATTACCGCCATTTCTTTCTAATTCTATTTGTCACGGATTCTTTTATTTTGCGGCTAGATTTACTCCATTTCGAGCACGCCGGAGTATCATTATAGTCCGGCCCGGAAAGCGCACACTGCAATGGCGCTGCTAACATTCATTTTCAATAGCATATATTACTATGTAGAATAATGCGCCTGAAAGAAACACTTGTTTGTAAATAAATTATTTCATTTTATCCCAGGCAAGTTACAATTTTTCTGATTGGTTTATTCACAATCCGACTAAGCTTTCTCTTCTCAATTTTTGGTGGATGATCTTCCTTCGCCAATTTCTTTATTCCCGATGAAATCAAGTCGTGTCCACTTTAAAGAACATTATTTAATTCCTTGGTAATTCATTTCGAATTCAACCCACCGCATACATCATTTACAGTCATTCGACCGAAGACACAGACTCGAACAATCGCCTCCCATATGCATATAAATGCGAGCTTAATGGAAATAAATAGCGATCAGAATAAATTTTACATTTTCCATTGTCCGACGGGATCTCGTAACGTCGACGGATTAGACGCGGATTTCCAAGTGAAAATTCGCTTTTGCGGAATCGCTCAGACGGCCGAAAGGCAGTTTGCAGTAGTTTATACGAGGGCTCGAGCCGGCCCGATTCCTATTAGAGCTCTAGAGCGGTGATAACGGTCCGGCAATTCGCTCTATTCTGAGCCATTAGATATCGTGGAGGTCTATTAATGCTGGTTTACGTAATGCTACCGACGATGCCGCATTGCTATCCAATTACCTAGCTCTTTACTATAAAATCTTTTTCTAATTAAATTTAGAATGGAGACCGGCAAATTTACATAGTACTAAGAGGTTTTGTTATTTGGGGATTTAGGGGAATTGTGCATGCATATAAAAACTATAAGAGAAATATAATTGGTATAATTCGCATTTAACTTCCTGGTGTCTTTTAAGAGAGTATAAAAGAATCGTGCTTTATGAGATGGTAAAAAAAGGCCGTAAATGCGAATAACAATTGCGTTTGGTGAAATCTTTTATGTAGGTTCATTTTATTTAGTTTATACGGTATAATTTTTAAATGCGAAAAACCGTGCTAAGCCATTTTGTGGGTTATTAAATTTGAATGAAATTTTATTTCTACTAATTTTAAAATAATGCGTCGTTTTTTTAATTTTACGATTGTACAGGGTAGGTATAAATTTAGAAACATTAATATCGTTACATTAAAAGTAAACAGATTCTGATATAAAGCACAATTCTATTGTTAAGTAAAACTAAGATAACCGAGTTTGGGAAATTTCATCTCGACAACAGAAAACACTTTTCAGTTTGCGAACTTCAGCTTATATGTATGCAGATCATCTTTGCAAAGTTTTGCGCCTCCATCCGTGGAAAAGTGTACAAATTTGAACTTTTCCATCCCACTGTCGAACTTTAAATGGACGTTGATTGCGTCGAGCGCAATAAACGGATTACAAACTAAACAAGTCAATTCGCTATTGCGAAAAAAAGCGCTATTACCCCCACTAAAATTTCCATCAAACTTCGCCTTCCATAAGAACAGCAATAAACGGTCCAAAGTTCCCCAACAATCCCGACTGCGGAGATCTCGCCGAGATCCGGGAGTAATAGAGTGTTTGGCACTTGGTAAAATTCAACAAATTAAATGGCTGTAACTATTTGATTTGGTTTCGGGTATTTCGAGCTACTACAAACACCGAGGACAAAGAGCCGGCCTGACAAGTCCAACAAACGGCACAACAACAAACATCGAACTGTGATCAAGCCCCAACCCAACGGGAACTTTCCGGTATGCGCACGGAGAGAGATAAACTCTTTCACTTTGCGTTTTAATTTGCACCAGAGTGAAGCTGAAGATGTAATTATTCGTTGTCTTGCAAGCTTATTGAAATGGCACTTGAAATAGGAAAAGCGTATATTTATAAATATAAAATTAGCTAACGAGTAATTTGGATATTAATAGAATTTCTTGATTATTGAAAGAAAGATTATAGCCTCCGGCACTGGCGAAAGTCGTCGACAAGACCCGAAGCCGAGAAGTTCTTAGTAATTAGCGGCGGGGATTGGGTAGTGATAATGCCGCAGGAGATGGGAAACTGATGAGGCTGCTAGGGATTAAGGCAGTCTGCTCTCGGGGCGAAGCCCCCCGGATTATGCAATACATTAGAACGGAATATGAATTGAATATAATAGAAAGCAGCGTCGTCATTCCGACGATATTCGCTTATAATGGCTCCTCTTTGCGAAAATTTAGCGGTTGTTAATCTTGGAAATTGCGCTAGTAAT